TTTCTTGCTCGGTAGAATTTTCGGTTATTACTAGACTACTATGATATTCTCTAAGAAGACGAAGATTAATACCTTGACCTCTAGACCCTTGTTCAAATAAAGAGACTCCCAAAAGTTCCTCGCATATGGCCTTGTCTTGGTTGACTCGGCCATTAACAACCTTACCATCGATTGATAGACCGAATAACATGTACACGTCCTTTAGTGTGTCTGTACATTCACCACATGGAAGATGAAAGGTGTAAGTTTCGAGTCTCCATCTCTCCACTAATGCGAGAATAATTTTATAGTCAACATGGTAATTGACTATGTTGAGTAACAGACCAAAACTGGCATGTCGTAAGTACGATTCAATTTGAACATCGTAAGGGGCATACTCATGGACACGACAACGAAATCTTTTAACATCCTATTAAAAACATGAATTACGTATAAGAAATACAAGATTTACGTATAACAATCATAATAATTAAGGAAAAAAATTTGTCGGCAAAAAATAGGTATTGAGGAAAATACACTTACAAAGGTTTCAATGTTGTTCGAAGTTCCTCTATATTGATCACCCATGGTCAAGAGAGACATTTTTTCTTGATTACTCTTGTGCTGTTGTTGATACTTCAAGAAAGAAATAGTGTGTGAGTTATGATTGTGATGAACATATAGGGTGAATGTTACATGTATTTATAGGAAAATCTTGAAGAATACTTTGCATGCAAGAGATACACATAGGCGCCACACTAGGTGGCGCATGCTCTCTATGATACACATAGGCGCCATTCAACATGGTGTGTTACTTTTTGCATGCATGCAAACCTGCAGCGTGGTAGGGATCAGATGGCATGCATACAATTTTGTTGTACAATGACAAGCCACCCTAGGTGGTGCATGCATGCAAAAATAGGAGGATAATCCATCCTAGGTGGCGCGTGCATGTAAAAATAGGAGGATAAGCCATCCTAGGTGGCGCATACATGCAGAATATAGAGTACACCCCATATTTTCATCAGTCTATTTAATCGTCTGTGTAGGGTGCATTACTAGTATACATCCATAACTCACAAAAAACATATCTCAACAACATGGATCATTCACAAAATTATAATATTGTTGCTCATATTAACGGTGAGACATTTAATTGCGGTAGCTTAGGTTTTAATTTCCGTAATATCGATTTTATCCACTTTCCGAAAAACAAGAAATCAAGTTTTGCACGCTTCAAAGATAGACTAGAAGCCAAATTGCAGTGTGGTCCAATTTACCAAATTCTTTACAAGTCCCCATTTCTATTTGACAACAACCAAGTCAGATTTTATCAACTTAAGGTGCGCGGCGATGATGATGTTCGAAACATGTTTCGAACTCATGAACAATCCGGGTTCGATGAGATTGAGTTGTATGTTTTATTACAGAAACAGATCAATTTCAGGTGGTAGATCCTTCTCAAGACTTTGAAGAAGAGGATGAATCTGACGAGGACAACCATCCTGAAGTCGATGTTATTGACCAAGAAGAAGAAGATGATGAGGCAATGATTGATTTTATGGTCAATAATGACGCTGTAGATCAAGTGCATGAACCTGTACCTGCAATTCATGCGTATGACCCTCTGTTTCACATGACGAACTTGAACTTGGGGGAAGATGAACCAACCTCAAATATCTTTCACAATCCTTATATGCAAACCGAAGGGGCCTTGTAAGTTGGAGGCAGATTTTGAACAAAAGAAGAGTGTCTTAGAGCTATCAAAAAATACCACATGGAAATTTTAGCTGACTTCACTGTAGATAAAAATAATTCAGGGAGGTACGTTATTTTATGTCGTCAAAAACCAATTTTCCCTTTTCGGTTAACTGCATCTTACAGGAAGAGAAGTGATTCATGGGAAATAGGTTCCATTGATCCACTCCACACTTGCATCACCACCGTTCCGACACAGGATCATCGGAAACTTAGTTCTCAACTAATATGTCAAGACCTTGCCTCTTATTAGAAAGGATTCATCATTAAAGGTGAGTACAATTATTTCTCACATCACTACAAGATTGAATTATACTCCCTCTTACAGGAAGACATGGATCAGAAGGACTAAGGCAGTTGAACTTGTGTACGGTAATTTGGAGGAATCGTCCAAAGAACTTCCAAGATTTTTGGTGGCACTCAAATATTTTGCTCTGGGAACTGTTATAATTTTAGAGACACTCCTGACATTTACCCCAAACAGAACTCGTGTTAGTGGAAATGGAATATTTCATCGATTGTTCTGGGCGTTTGAACCATGCATCAAGGGTTTTGCATTTTGCTAACCTATTATACAAATTGATGGAACTTGGCTATACGGGAAGTATAAAGGAACATTACTCATGGCAGTGGCATAAGATGGGAACAATAATGTTTTTCCGATTGCCTTCACTCTAGTTGAAGGTGAGACAGGTGGTGCATGGAATTTATTTCTGAAGAATCTCCGGTTACACGTTGCTCCTCAACCCAACATTTGTTTGATTTCAGACAGACATCCATCGATTATGAGTGCATACAATAACCCTGATAACGGTTGGCAGGATCCTCATTCGACACATGCCTATTGCATTAGACATATCACACAAAACTTCATGCTCCATATCAAAGACAAGACACTTCGAAAGAAAATTATTAATGCAGGGTATGCCTTAACAGAACTGTCATTCCGATAATATCGTGAAGAAATCTGGTTGGCAAACTCAGAAGCATTAAGGTGGATCAAAAACATTCTGTGGAGAAGTGGACTAGGGCATTTGACAATGGTCAACAATGGGGTCACATGACAACAAATTTGGTGGAATCACTGAACTCTGTATTCAAAGGCATCTGAAACCTACCAATTACTGCTTTGGTTAGAGCAACATATTTCAGGATGGGGTCATTGTTTGACACAAGAAGTTCAAAATGGAGGGCAATGTTACAATCAGAGCAATTGTTCAGTGAATGCACGATGAAAACATTTAACGAGGAGGCTGCAAAAGCAAACACCCATAGTGTCACCGTGTTTGATCGTATTAAAGGTTGGTTCAGTGTACAAGAGACAATGGATCATAATAAGGGGAGGCCAAAGGGATATTATCGGGTCGAACTAGATAGAGGTTGGTGTGATTGCGGAAAGTTTCAAGCATTTCGCAAGCCTTGCTCTCATGTCATAGTGACATGCTCGCATGTTTGCTTGGACCCAATACAACATATATCCCCTGTGTACACAATAAAGAGCGTTTTAAGTGTGTACATCAATACCTTATCCGTGTTGGCAAAGGAGGATTATTGGCCTGCTTATCAAGGGGACATTGTTTGACACAATGAACAAATGTGACAGAAGAAAAAGGGGCGCCCGAAAAGCACTCGTATTAGAACTGAAATGGATACGGCCAACAAAATGATAAGATTATGCAGTACATGTCGTCTTTCCGGACACAACCGAAAAAATTATCTGAATATTGGGTCTAGCTCTGCAACCTAACTTTTTTATAGTAAATTTCCCGGAGTGTTTAATTAGTTGTACGCAATATATTTCAATTTAAATTCGAGTTATCATTTCGTGTTCAATTTATCATTCGATTACAACAACTTTCACACAATGACACAAAAAATTACAACAACACATACTCAGAATAACAATACAACAACATGATAAACAAATAAAACAACTAAGCAAATCATAATATCTAAGAGATAAAAACCATCAACACAATATTGTCTGGTCCAAGCATCATCATCATGACATCAACGTCACATCTCACCTTTTTCCATGATCGGCTTACTCCATTTTCATTCCTCACTGTGATGTGCTTTTCTATTTTTCTGATTTGTTCACCTTCAGGAATGTCTCATTCCAACCAGCGAATCAAGTGCCTCTGAAAATGCTCGAACGTCTGTGTGTTTCAGAGTTTGATCTTCACCGGAGGCTTTGTCGCTGAAAAAATAACACGCGCATCTCTTTTGATAAGTGAAAACTTTAATAAGGGAGTTGAAGACATTTTCTAAGAGTTATGTAACAAATAGTGTGAAAAAATGAAGAGGATTGATAGTTGTATTTATAGAAAATGCAAAAACACTATCAAGTCAAAGATGATGACGCCTCTTCTCTGGAAACACATGCATGCGCCACACTGCATGACTTTACAGAGGAGGACAAACCATGCAGTATGACGCATTCTCTTAAAAATACATGCATGCGCCACACAGAGTGACTACTCTGTGTGACAAAAAAATTTATCTGAAAAATAGTCATTTTAATAAGTTTTTTTTTAAAAAATAATTATTTGAAAAAGAAATTCTATACTAACTTTTAAGCAATCATTACTTTTATACTTTTATGTATGGGTTAATTTAACCGATTACTAACCAACAAGTAATTTTTTTTTTATATACAACTGTTACTTCTATAAAGTAATTTGAGAAATCCAACACCATGCATATTAATAAAATAATAATAATATTAATTTTTCAATTATAGTTAAGATGTGCATATTTGAATCCGCAATCCTACGATTTCTGTATAACTGTGGACTAAGTTGTTTTAATTGAATAAAATAAATATTAATTTAATTTTTAATATAAAACTAACCATTATTTAAATTTTAAAAAATAATTTAAAGTAGAATATTTTTGCAAATTTCCAGACACTAATGGGCTGTAAATGTTTAAATTCTTCACTTTTCTGCATACATATATATATAAAAAACAAAAAATTATAAATGAAAGATGAGGAGGAAAAGAAGGTGGCCCATACATACCAGAATCATACACACACATGACAGTACAGAACAGCCTCTCAAACTTTCTTCATGAATCATGACAACTCGCTCTTTCATACATATGGACCCCACCTGCATGTGCATTACTTCTCTTCCCGTTTTTCTCCTCACTCTTCTTTAAACTTAACTTAACTTAACTAACCAAAAACAAAACTAAACACCACCTTCTTCTCTTCTCTTCTCTTCTCTTCTATTCTCTCCCACAACAACAACAACAACATGAAGAAAAACATCATAGTACTAAACCCTTTATCTTTTTCTCTCTTCCTCTTCATTATTACCCTCTTCACTCACTCCCAAAACGACGACGCTTTAGTCATGCTATCTCTCAAAAAAGCTATCAACCCACCCGGTTCACTCGGTTGGTCCGACCCGGATCCATGTAAGTGGACCCACGTTTCATGCTCCGACGACAACCGCGTTACTCGAGTCCAAATCGGTCGTCAGAATCTCCACGGCACACTCCCTCAGAATCTCCACAACTTAACCGAGTTACAACACTTGGAGCTTCAGTTCAACAATTTCTCGGGTCCTCTCCCGAGTTTAAACGGGTTAAACTCTCTTCAAGTTTTCATGGCGAGTAGTAACAGTTTTACTTTAATTCCCGGTGATTTTTTTGCTGGTTTGTCTCAGCTTGTTTCTGTAGAGATCGATGATAACCCTTTTGAGCCTTGGGAGATTCCTGACTCGCTTAAAGATGCTTCTTCGCTTCAGAATTTTTCTGCTAACAATGCTAATGTTAAGGGTAAGTTACCGGATTTTTTTGGTGATGAGGTTTTTCCTGTTCTGACCCTTTTGCATTTAGCTTTTAATAAGATTGAGGGTGTGTTGCCGAAGAGCTTTTCTGGTTTAAAGGTTGAGTCTTTGTGGTTGAATGGTCAGAAGAGTGATGGTAAGCTTACTGGGTCGGTTGAGGTTTTGCAGAATATGACTTCTTTGACTGAGGTTTGGTTGCATTCTAATGCTTTTAATGGTCCTTTACCTGGTTTTCAAGGGTTGAAAGATTTAGAGGTTTTGAGTTTAAGGGATAACTCTTTCACTGGTGTTGTTCCTAGTTCGTTGGTTAGCTTGAAGTCGCTTAAAGTTGTGAACTTGACTAATAACTATTTTCAGGGTCCAGTGCCTGTTTTTGGTGCTGGGGTTGAGGTTGATAATGTTAAGGATTCTAATAGCTTTTGTTTGTCTCGTCCGGGTGATTGTGATCCTAGGGTGCAGGTGCTTCTTTCTGTTGTTGGGGTTATGGGTTATCCTTTGAAGTTTGCTGAGAGTTGGAAGGGGAATGATCCTTGTGTTAATTGGATTGGGATTACTTGCAGTGATGGGAACATTAGTGTTGTTAATTTTCAAAAGATGGGTCTTAGTGGTGTGATATCTCCGGAGTTTGCTAAGCTTAAGTCGCTGCAAAGACTTATTCTTTCGGATAACAATATCACTGGTTTGATTCCTAATGAGCTTACTACTTTGCCTATGCTAACTCAATTGAACGTTGCAAACAATCATCTCTATGGTAAAACACCTAGTTTTAAGAGGAATGTGATTGTGACTACTAGTGGGAACGTTGATATTGGGAAGGATAAGAGCAGTCTTTCACCTCAGGGTTCACTGTCTCCTAATGGTACCGATGCGAATGGAGGAAATGGTGGGAGTTCTGGAAATGGCGGCAAAAAGTCTTCTTCTCATGTAGGATTGATAGTGTTTGCTGTGGTTGGTGCAGTTTTTGTGGCCTCTTTGATTGGTTTCTTTGTTTTCTGCTTGCTAAGGATGAAGCAAAAGAAGTTAAGTAGGGTTCAGAGTCCGAATGCACTAGTTATTCACCCTCGGCATTCTGGATCAGATAACGAAAGTGTGAAGATAACAGTTGCAGGTTCGAGTGTCAGTGTTGGAGGTGTGAGTGAAGGCCACGCCATTCCCAACAGTGAGGTGGGAGATATTCAAATGGTTGAAGCGGGAAACATGGTCATTTCAATACAGGTTTTAAGGAGTGTCACTAACAATTTCAGCGAGAAAAATATATTGGGACAAGGAGGTTTTGGGACGGTTTATAAAGGTGAACTCCATGATGGTACACGAATTGCAGTGAAAAGAATGGAGTGTGGGGCAATAGCCGGGAAGGGTGCGTCAGAATTTAAGTCTGAAATTGCTGTTTTGACAAAGGTTCGTCACCGACATCTTGTTGCTCTTCTCGGATACTGCTTGGATGGGAACGAGAAGCTTCTTGTGTATGAGTACATGCCTCAGGGAACCCTAAGTAGGTATATTTTTAATTGGCCGGATGAAGGGCTCGAACCACTTGCGTGGGATAGGAGATTGATCATTGCCTTAGATGTCGCAAGGGGTGTTGAGTACCTTCATAGCTTGGCTCATCAAAGCTTCATACACAGAGACTTGAAACCTTCAAACATTCTCCTTGGAGATGATATGAGGGCAAAGGTCGCAGATTTTGGTCTAGTGCGCCTTGCTCCCGAAGGGAAAGCATCAATTGAAACAAGAATTGCAGGAACTTTTGGATATTTAGCTCCGGAATATGCAGGTATATTTTAGTTCTTTTTCTTTCCTTTGTCTCACTTGTTCTCTGTGTTCAATGCCATTTTTTAGTTAGTAATACCAAATAAAAAGTATATATAATCAAGACCTTGATCAATATATTGACTTGGTTTGAATGTAGCAACATAACTAAGTCAATATAAAGTCAGTTGACTTAGTTACAACTTCATGCTGTTAATAGAAAGTCAATAATGTAATTTGTGTCCAAAAATGTTCATATCCAATTTGCAGAAACGGCTACGAGTGTCTTCGAGGGAAACTAACATTCTTTCCCTTCGATTGTGACTGTGCGGTGTGTTTTGATTGAACGATTGTGTAATCTAATTTTTATTTGTTTGTTTGATAGTACAAAAATTCTGAATGCTTATTTTTGATTATGATCATTCTTGGATGTTTGATTTTTCGGAATATGTCTCTAACATTGACTTGCAAACGGCTATCTGCTTGCAGTTACCGGCCGCGTGACAACTAAAGTTGACGTGTTCAGCTTTGGAGTAATACTGATGGAGCTCATAACTGGAAGAAAAGCACTTGACGAGAGCCAACCCGAGGATAGCATGCACCTTGTAGCATGGTTCCGAAGAATGTACTTAGATAAGGATTCATTCCGCAAGTCCATCGACCCCACAATTGATATCAATGAGGAAACACTTGCGAGTATTCACACTGTAGCAGAGTTAGCTGGTCACTGCAGTGCAAGGGAGCCATATCAAAGACCAGACATGGGCCACGCAGTTAACGTTCTTTCATCTCTTGTTGAACAATGGAAACCGTCTGATTTGAATTCCGAAGATATATATGGTATCGACCTTGACTTGTCTTTACCACAAGCACTCAAGAAATGGCAGGCTTATGAAGGTGCAAGTCAATTGGAGTCTACTTCTTCTTCTTCGCTTCTTCCAAGTTTGGATAACACGCAAACAAGTATACCTACTCGTCCATATGGATTTGCCGATTCTTTCACGTCGGCAGATGGGAGGTGATCATGTTTGATTTTGTACATAATTTGTAATTGTACGGTGGTTCTTTCGCGTGTAGTGTGATTCTAATTGCTTTGTTGTGATGGTTTTTTCTATGTGGAACTTGATTATCATTTTTCATGGTGTAGTTTTCTTCCATGATTAATTTTATACTCTCTCTGTAGCACTTTTTAAGTAGTTTTGCTGACAAACTGAAAATTTGTTTCATGTTTTTCTCCTTTCAGTTAACTTTTGATAAGTGTAGCTGAGGCTACTAATTTGATTAATTCGTTTCATTAATTCTGTTGAGCCAAGGTTACAAGTTTTTGTAGATAACAATTGAGTCATTGGAGTCAATAAACAATCATTTGTCTTTCTGGATACATCACAATAGTCTTGAATTGCTTTGAAATCGAGAGACTTTAATAGCATGTTTGGATTGACTTTTGGAACATTCAGAATCAATTCTAGAGGTGTATAATTGATTGGGTAATTTTGAGTTGTTTGGTTTATCAAAAGTAGAATTGATTCTGTCTCTAGAATTGATTATACTTGAAGTTAGAATTTGTAGCATCTACCTTCAAAATTGATTCTGGGTGATTTTTACGCTAAAATTTATTGTTCAACTCACTTTTACATAAATGTATCCAAATATAAATCAATTTTGCTAAACTCAATTCTATTACAATCAATTCTAACAAACTCAATTCTGCTAGAATCAATTTTGTCCACCGTCAATCCAAACACCCTAAGGATATATTTGGATCGGCGGCGAACATAATTGATTCTAGTAGAATTGAATTTGGTGGGCTGTTTGAAATGACGGTGAACAGAATTGATTCTAGTAGAATTGAGTTTGGTATAATTGATTTTTATTAATTATTGCTTTTGGACCGCTGACGTGGCTATTTAAGTTTTTTATTCTATGTTTTAGTATTTTAAATTATTAGTCAATAAGTGTTTCCTACACTTTAGGAGAAAGTAGTTTTAATTATTCCACTTCCTTATTTAGTGGGGATGTGGTAGATTCTATTTATCCCACTTTCTAGTTTAGTGGTGATGTGGTTATGTCATGGATTAAAATCCTATAAATGTATTGCTCCAGCAAATAAAAGAATATAATTCTCATTCTTTTCACCTACACATTTTTTTATATCTATGTCCTTAAAACTTTCGTTTATATCATAAACCAACAAATTGGTATCAGAGCTATCTTCTTACGAGACCTGTGAAAATGGAAGCTGGAGCAAGTTTCTCACATATTGCTTCTCCCATCTTTGATGGAGACAACTATGACCTTTGGGTAGTTAAAATAGAGTCTTTTCTGGAAGCATTGGACCTTTGGGAAGCTGTGGAAGAGGATTATGAAGTTCCTCTGCTGCCAAATAATCCGACTATGGATCAAGTAAAACTTCATAAGGAGAAAAAAACCAAGAAGGCAAAGGCGAGAACATGTCTCTTCGCTGGTGTTTCATCAATAATCTTCACCAGAATCATGACCCTCAAAACGCCAAAAGCAATACGGGACTATTTGAAGGAAGAATACGCTGGAGATGAGAGGATCCGAGGCATGCAAGTGCTCAACTTGATCAGGGAATTCGAGATGCAAAGGATGAAAGAGTCTGAGATAATCAAAGAATACTCAGACAAGTTACTCTCCATTGCAAACAAGGTTAAATTGCTTGGAACTGAATTCACTGATTCCAGAATTGTAGAAAAAAAATCTGGTTACAGTTCTTGAGAGATACGAAGCATCAATAACCACCTTAGAGAACACGAAGGATCCGTCTAAAATCACTTTAGCAGGAGTCTTACATGCCTTGCAGGCCCAGAAGCAACATAGGCTTATGAGACAAGATCATGTGGTTGAAGGTGCTCTACCAGCCAAACATCATGAAGTTGGAAGTACTCCAAACAACCAAAATAAAGACAAAGGTACAAAGAAAAGTTATGCACCTCGTGAGCACTGTGGAAAACTGGGCCATCCACCATTCCGATGTTGAAAAAGGCCAGACGCAAAGTGCAACAAGTGCAATCAAGTTGGACATGAAGCTGTGGTGTGCAAAGGAAAATTTCAACAACTTGAAGTCAATGCCCAGGTTATTGAGCAAGATGAAGATCAAATTTTTGTGGCAATGTGTTCTTCAACTATGAGTAATTCAGAATCTTGGCTGATTGACAGTGGCTGTACAAACCACATGACATGTGATAAAACTCTCTTCAAGGATTTGAAGCCTACTCAAATCACAAAAGTCAGAATTGGCAATGGTGGCTATATTTCTGCAAAAGGAAAAGGAACTGTGGTAATTTCAACGAGATCGGGTATAAAAATCATATCAGATGTTCTTTATGTGTCTGATATTGACCAAAATTTGCTCAGTGTTGGTCAATTGATAGAAAAGGGATTTAAGGTATCCTTTGAAAATCAATTTTGTCTTATCTTTGACACCACTGGTCGAGAGATTTTTAGGGTCAAAATGAGAAGTAAAAGCTTCTCATTTGATCCAATTGAGGAGGAGGAGGAGGAGAAAATTGCCTATTTCACTCAAGTCAGTCCCACTGAATTTTGGCATAGCGACTCGATCATTGTCATATTCAAAGAATGTTGAAGATGAAGAATAAAGATATACTAATACTTTCTGATCATTTTCCAAATTGTGATGCTTGTCAGTTTGGTAAACAAAACAAAATTCCATTTCCCAAAGTAGTTTGGAGAGCCACTCAAAAGGTGCAGCTCATTCACACAGATGTTGTAGGACCTCAAATAACTCCATCATTAAATGGTAGCCTATACTTCATTCTTTTCATAGACGATTTTACGAGAATGTGTTGGATTTTTTTCTTGAAATTCAAGCATGAAGTTACTGGAGTTTTTGTCAAGTTCAAAAAGATGGTGGAAGTTCAAAGTGGCTCAAAGGTTCAATTTATACGCTCTGATAATGGCAAGGAGTACACATCAACAAAATTTAATTTATTTTGCGAAGAGGCTGGAATTGAACATCAATTGACGGCTCCTTATACTCCAGAGCAAAATGGAGTTAGTGAAAGGAGAAATAGATTAGTAATGGAGATGGCTAGATGTATGTTGCATGAGAAGGAATTACCTAAACAGTTTTGGGCAGAAGCGGCAAACACGATAGTTTTTCTACAAAATCAACTTTCAACAAAGGCTTTGAAAGATAAAACTCCTTTTGAAGTTTGGTATGTGCACAAGCCTTCACTAACCTTTCTTAAAGTGTTTGGTTGTGTTTGTTTTGTACATGTTCCAAAGGTTAAGCGCGACAAACTTGATAAGAAAGCAATTTCAAATATTTTTGTGGGACATAGTTCAGTTTCAAAAGCCTACAAAGTGTATCATCCTCAAACCAGGAAGATGACTATCACTAGAGATGTGCACTGCAATGAAGATCAACAATGAGATTGGAAGAATCCACAAAGAACATTTGGTTCACTCATCAATATTAAAGATGCTTACCTGGAAAAGAAAACAATTGAGTTGTGTCTGGATGAGTTAGAAGACGATCCTTCCATTAGAGGCACAAGGTTGCTATCAGACATTTATCAAAGATGTAATGTTGCAATATGTGAACCTGCTTGTCGTGAGGAAGCTCTAAAAGATCCGAAATGGAAAAATGCAATGGATGAGGAGATGTCAATGATACACAAAAACAAAACATGGAAGCTGGTTGAAAAGTCTCGAGATAGAAAGGTCATTGGTGTTAAATGGATTTTCAGAACAAAGCTTAATGTTGATTGTTCAATCAAAAAATACAAAGCCAGACTCATCGTTAAAAGGTATGCACAAATTTTCGGTGTTGATTATTCTGACACTTTTGCATCTGTGTCCAAATTAGATACAATTAGATTGGTGTTAACAGTTGCTGCTTAAAAGGGCTGAAAAGTATTTCAATTGAATGTCAAGTCAACTTTTTAAAATGGAGTTTTACAAGAAGAGATATATGTGGAGCATCCAGAAGGTTTTTTGGTGCAAGGTGAAGAAGATAAAGTCTATTTGCTCAAAAATGCCTTTTATGGGTTAAAACAAGCACCAAGGGCTTGGTACAACAAGATAAATGATCACTTATTGAGCATAGGCTTTGTAAAAAGCTTATCTGAGTCCACTCTTTATGTGAAACATAAGGGGAAAAATCTTCTCATAGTTTCCCTCTATCTTGATGATCTTTTAGTGACTGGAGATGATACAAGGTTGGTTGAGCAATTCAAACAAGAAATGATGCAAGCTTTTGAAATGACGGATCTTGGTCTTATGACTTATTTTCTTGAAATTGAGATCAAACAAAATGATAATGAAGTTTTCATCTGCCAAAAAAATATGCAAAGGAAATATTGAAAAAATTCCAAATGGAGGAGTGTAAAGTTTGTACACTAATGAACTAAAAAGAGAAGTTGAGCAAGGAAGACGGTGTTGATAAAGTCGATGAAGGATATTACAGGAGTTTGATTGGACACTTAATGTATCTCACTGCAACAAGGTCGAACATTTTATTTGCAGTAAGTCTCCTCTCCCAATTTATGCATTGTGCTAGTAAATGCATTTAGTAGCCGCAAGACGAATATTGAGATATGTTAAAGGTATTGTCGAATACGATGTCAAATTTGAGAGCTGTCAAAACTTCAAGTTGTGTGGATTCTCAGACAGTGATTGGGCTGGATCCATTGATGACATGAAAAACACTTCCATATATTGTTTCAGTCTAGGCTCTGGAGTTTTTTCATGGTGCACAAAGAAGCAGGAGATAATAGTACAATCAACTGCAGAAGCTGAATTCATAGCAGCAAATACAGTTGTAAATCAAGTTTTATGGTTAAAGAAGATTTTATGTGATTTACATCTCCAACAGAATCATAAAATTGAAATTTTTATTGACAACCAAGCAACAATTGCAATCTAAAAGGATCCAGTTTGTCATGGAAAGACTAAACATTTTAACATCAAGCTCTATTTCTTAAGAGAAATGCAACAAAACGGAGAAGTGACTTTGATTTACTGTAGGTCAGAGGTT